AAAAAAACTAAAGTCCATGCTTTATCCAGATTTGTTTGTTTGTTTTTGCGCTAAAGTCCTTTTTCTGCCCTCGGATTTCACTGGAGACACCACATCACATTTAGTTGGCATGTCTGCTCAGGCTCCTCTTGGCTCTAACAGTTTCTCCTACTTCCCTTGTTTCTCACAACCTTGCTGGTTTTAAGGAGTATTTATGATTTTATAGAATGTCCCTCCTGTGGGATTTGCAGAGTTCCTCTCTTTACTCTCTATCATTTCTTCTTGAATGTCCTGTAATGAAACTATTTTGTATCTGCATGATTGAATTTTGGTTTACAAAACACACTTACACGCACTCTTATTTATTTCCCAGAAGTTGGAACGTATGTTTTTAAATAATAAATGTCTTTAAATAATACCTCATAGATTTTGTAAAATAATGAAATGAGAATGTATATGTGAATGTGCCTAGCATAGTATCTGTTTACTAGCTGCTCAATAAATAGTGTATGTATTTTTTTATTTTATTTTCAGAATATAGAGCTCAAGTAAATGTCTGTTATGCTAGTATCGAGACATATTTAGATATGAGTTGTTCAAAAAAGAGAAAAAATTAGGCACTTATACCTTGTGATTGGAAGTAAGGATTAATGACAAAATTCTCATAAAAGATTTGGAGCTTAGAGATAAAACTCACCATGAAATTGATGACATTCTTTGTTCTCTTGTAGCTAACACTGGTAAACTTTTACAGTCATACGCTATAGGCTCATTAAACTGCAGAGTTGTTAAAGCTTGAAAATTCCATGATTGTGATTTGTAGATCACAATCCTGAGGATCAGTGGTGTTAGGAAGTTTTTCCAGGGTTACATAGCAAGTAAATCACTGAGCCAGGACTCAAACCCAAATCTTTTTACTTCAAACTGGTGTTCTTTCTTCCACAGCACAAATATCCATGGTCTTTTAAGAGGAAATGCAATGCATAAGCTTGGGCTTGTCATATAAATATTAACAACTATTAACAATATTTCATTTGCAGTGAAATTGTATGCCTTAACAAGTCAAGTCATCAATGGCGAGATGCAGTTTTATGCAAGAGCTAAGCTTTTCTACCAGGAAGTACCGGCCACAGAAGAGGGTATGATGGGAAATTTCATTGAACTGTCCAGCCCAGATATTCAAGCCTCTCAGGAATTTCTTAGGAAATTCATTGGGGTGAGTAATACAACTGTAGCTTGATGAGAAGGCAAAGTCCTTGCAGACACTAAGCTCACATGCCTCTGTGTTGTCACTTGTCAGGTTAAAATTATATGGCTCAGCCAAAGAGTTCAGCCTGAGAGCCTATTTTAAGATATTCAGAAAGGATGGACCACATCAAACCACTGGTTTATCCCACTTGGCATTTCACCTTCCTCACATCAGCTAATCTTACATGCTTCAGGGAAAGGTGAACTAGCAGTGCTGATATTGCAATTTGTGAACTAAGGAGACATTTCTTTTTGAGTCTTATAAATAAACAGTTGACATTCAGAAGACTGATGAGAGATTGTGCCCTTTGGGATCTTGGGTTGACTTTTTGATTCCCTGTAATAAAAATTAGATGTAGTAAGGAAATGCAAGCCTATGTTCAGTTAAAAAATAATGACAGTAGAATCCTTTTGTATTACCACATACATGGTTTAGATTTTGCCTTGAAAGAATGCTATCACTTTGCAATCCTGGTGTTGGGTGAACCTACTCTTCTTTAATTTTGCATCATGTGGAAATAGACAATATAGTATAGGGCCCAAAATCTTGGGCTCAAAATTCATCATAGTTCTTTTGCTTAATGGATAAACAACCTTGGACTTGTTACTTAAAGTCACTAATCCTCAGTTTTCATACCTGTGATGAGGGGATGACACTAGAACCTACCTCACAGGAGAAAAGGATCAAAGAGATTATAGATGTCAAGTATGTGCTTTAGTATGCAAAATGAGTACCCCCACAAATCTAATTTATTGCAACTACTACTAACAGGCTTTCATATAATATGTTCATTATATTTGAAAGAACTTCATTTAGTTGTTAGACTAGATTTAACCCTGTAGCTTTTTGGCTGCTATTGGTTCTACTGAAAACACAAACAAATTTTGTTCTAATTCAGTATAAAGTAATCTGTATGAAACTTGGAGCCCATTTTATGATGATGAAGGATACATTATAAATATTAAGTTGTGGGATTAGTCTGTCAACCTATTTGGCAGCATAATGTTAAGAATATTCCTAGTGTGTGTGTGTGTTTTTAAAATTTCATAGTAATATAATGAACATACAATTAGGTTACATTGTTTGTGTTTGTTAGGTAAAATTCAAGTTACAGTTGAGACCTTCACCCAGGAGGTATGCCATTTATTCCTACATTGTACTCATTAGGTGAGAGCTTACTATACCCCCAAATCTTGAATTGAAATGTATTTTCCTCTTGTGTGGACATGTAGTTGCTCATCAATTAGTTTCATATTAATAGTGAGTACATTGGATGCTTGGTTTTCCATTTTTGTGGTACTGAGGAACATGTTCTCCAAATCCTTCCAAGTAAATGCAAAAGAAGTCTCCATCTTTCTTTATGTCTGAATTGTATTCCATAATATCCATATACCCCAGTTTATTTAGTTCTACTGTTGAGGTGTGGTTCACTTCACATCCAACTTCCCTGGAGCACCTGATGCCTGAGTCCAGAGGTTAAAAGTAGAGAAAATGTGGTTCAGAGGGGATATCTACTAAGGGCTGAAGTGTCTGGATGTCAGCTGCAGCCATAAAGAATTAGGAAGTCTAGGGATAATGGCATGTGTGTTTACAGGTCAAGTTAACCTGGTGTATTTTAAAATCAGTATTGCTGACTGATTTCACTAAGTGCTTATTCTGAGATGGTCAGTTACTCTGCAAAGCACTTTAGAAACATGGTCTCAGTGCCTCTTCGCAATAATTCTTGGTGGTAGATGCTATTATTAGCTCTGTTTTTACAGTTGTGGAAACTGAGGCTTGGAGAGGTTAAATAAGTTGTCAAGGTTACACAGCTGGTAAGAGTCAGAGCTGGGAGTTAAGCCCAGACAGGTCTGTCTGACACCAAACTCCCTGCTCTTAACCAGGACATGTTTTTTCCATTTGTCTGATGAAGCTGAAAAATCTCTGGTTTTTTTTTTTTCTTTCCTTTTTGGAGGACCGTAGACCTCATCCCTCCTCCAGTCTGGCCCAAAGCAATCCCTTCTGCTTGCCTGGTGGTGAGGCTGACTTTGATCCCGACACATTTCAGAAGCTTAGTTAGTAATCCAGCTGTCTTGTCACTCCGTGTGGAATGCCAAGCTGACCACAGGGATGCTGGTCAGACAGAGCCCATAAGCACGCCCACGGACCTGGGAAAGGAAACAGCCTTGTGCTTGCATATTTATGTTGGAAAAGAGGCAGCCTGCTCCTTTCAAACAAATATAAGGAGTCCTTCTTAGTAGACAAGGCTCATTGTAAAACCATGACCTCTAACTAAGTACAAACATGAAACTTTTAAGAGGATGATATTTTGATACTTTGACCTTAATACTATAATCTACAAAATTAGTATTCAGGTCAAGATACAAGGAGTTAGGAAATACGAGTGTCTGATGTGATTTATTCTTATGTCAACTGAGAAAAGGCAGATTGTTTAATTTAAGTTTTGCTTTCCTTTCAACGCTTAGTGACATGGGACAGTATTTAAACTAGTTGCGAATGTGATATAAAGACGATGTTAATGGCATTACTGAGAACTCTCAGTTTTAGCTTTCTAATGGGGGAAAGTAGTAATTAATAAAAAGTAATCAGTATTTTTTTCAAGTAATCAGTATTTGATGGCATTTTTTTTTTTTGACATTTCTCAGGGATTGGATGGCTAGAAAATCTGGGTCTAACATTTTATTTCATGGTTTTTATGCAGTAACATGAAGTGCTTTCATTTTAGTTTTTAAGTACTGTGGATGAATTTGGTGTTCTTCTGAACAAAATACACAGGCAGAATTAAACCTAAAATGAGATTCCTAAGTGTATTTTACTGTTTTGTATGAACATATGAATAAGCATAATAAATGAAAGTGAAAATAACAAAAGTCTTGTTCTGAAATCACCCAATGTATGTATTTCTAGTCATATTCATACAAGGGCATCAAATTTCACAGCCCCAGGCAGCCATGGTGTCCAAAAGGCAAGAGATGTCCCTGAGATCAGCTTTTAAATATCCCATCTCAGGGGAGCTGCATGTGAATGGGAGACAGAAAGAAGCTTTGGGCCAAGATACGGGAGGCAGTGCCAACAATGTAGAATGAAATGGGATAAACAGAGCTAGGTACTATTGGGGAGCACCTAGAAGGACACAGAATTTGAGTAAAAGGGACCATTTTTGTATTTGTAAATAACAATAGCTTCAAAAATAACTATAGCTAAATATCGCACATTTAAATTGGTGAAAAATACTAATTAGAAAGTGAGCATTTTCAAGGAAGTTCTATTTCAAACATTTCACCTCTCTGAACCTCAGTTTCTTTGTCTGAAAAAGCAGAAAGACATCAGTAATTTGAAAACGCTAGGATTTTGCTAACCTTCTTACGGTCTTCCTTGGAGAATGAAGGGAAGGTTGAGTGGGTGAGACCCAGCCTCACTTTAACCAGTGCCTACATGTTTATCTATTCATTGAGAAAAAGGATGTCAGCTGTTACAACCCTTTAGCAATCCACTGGCATAGATCTCTAAGGTCTCTTTGCTTTAATGTTCTGTGCTTCTACTTCTAAAGCAACTTGCTACACCAGTGAGAGCAAGATGACCCACAGAGGCTTTTAGAGACTCTATTGTTGTAGGGAAGTGATTTTCAACCACTGTGTCACAGCACATTGGTGTGCTGAGGAAATTTTGAAACATTGTTAATTAAATTATTTTCAAAAGAAGTTCAAAGCACAGTAAGTATATTCTTTTTTTTTTTTTACTCTTTTTTTTGATCAACATAATTTAAGTGTGCTGTGGAAGTTTAATTATAGGTTCAAGTGTGCCCTGCGATAAAAACGGTTGAAAAATACTGTTTTAGGGCCAAGTAATAAGAAAAATTTGTAACAAGAATCTCTTATTGAGCCATTTCTAAAGTAAAATTTTTAACTCAGTTTGTATTCATTTCCATCAAGTTTGAAATGTTTGCTTACCTGCTAATTCATTCAAATTTATATGAATCAGGGAGAAAGCTTAGAAAATTTAATGACAATGTATTTTTGTCATTTACTAAATTAAAATTTTTTTTTTTAATTTCAAATTAATATAAGGGCACAAATGTTTAGGTTACATTGTTTTTAATTGTAAGGTAAAGTTCAGGTTGTAATTCAGCCCTTCACCCTTTATATCTTTTATGTTTATCTGGATGGAGCTGAAACACATTGTTAGTAAAATATCTCGAGAATGGAAAAAAAATCAAATGTACGCGATACTAACATGAAACCAATATATAAACAACTACACGCCCATATGAATGAGCATACACATTTTTAATAATGTCATTTTCAGTAGCTTAAAATAACTTCTCTATGCTTTCTCCTGCCTCATGTTATAAATTTACTTAGAAGGTGCTTCTTTTATAGCATTCATGCTGTAAACCTTTAGCCTAAGCACTTTTCCTAATTACTTTAGTTTAAATTATAATATTTGAATGTGGGAGGTAGCATAGTGTAAGTAGAAATGGCAAACACATGGCAATGTACTACCAATTTCCTGTCCCATACATAAGGCAGACATCACTAATCAATCACAGATCTCTTTCCTGCTGAGTCTGAATGAAGCTTTAGAATTCTTTTCGGCACTACATTGGACAGACTACGAAGAGAACCAGAGTTGTCACTTGTGACATCCTTGATGTAGAAATGGCTTTGGATTCAGACAATTTCTGTTCAAATTCTAGTTCATCCATTAGCTATATAATATTAGAAATCTGAGTTTTTTTCATCTAAAAATGGGGATGATAATCGTTATCTTGTGGAGTGTTTTGATTGTTGTAATTATTATAGATGTGAAGAGCTTGCTCTATATAACCACTCAATAATTATGGTTATTATTATTTCATTTGAAAAGCAGCTACATTTGCTCCAGGTTTTGTTCTTCTCTGTACTTTTCTAGCATAAGGAAGGCTTTTGGGGTGGACTGGAAAGTCGCTTTTTGATGTTTTCCTCTGCTCATACTTCACCTTTGATCCTTAGCCAAGTGTTTTTTTTAATCCTCAGTTCCTGAGAAATCAATAGTAGGCTTTCTCCTTAAGATCTTGATTGGCAACTTCAAGTATCTTGTTACTATAATTTCTAGCACAAAATCTATGGCAGCCATCCCAATTATGACCAAATAATTTAGACCAGCTGAATCTTCACGAATCAGAAACTTTTAAAATTTTATAGACACAAGTTTGAGCAAGTTCGTATTGGCCGATTTCTCCCTACCCCCACTCACCACCTCCCCGTCATCCCCTCACCTCTAATTGATTTAATGCACAGACCTACTTAAAGAGTAGATCTCAGAGTTTCATGCCCAGTAAATCATGTAATTTATGGTATAAAATACCAGAAAACAACTTTTAGCATTAAAGGAGATGAAGCAACTTTGCCAAAACTACTCTCTGTCCACGTGAACGTGTTGTGTGCCGTCAGGGTTGGATTTGAAATAAAATCCTGGCCTGAGAATGAACAATTAGCATTCTTTAGTTTGGGCTCCCAAATTTACCATTCACATGGTAAATGGTGAGGAATAGATAACTCAGAGCCCTCAAAATCAGTTTAGAAAACTAAAACGTCGCTTTTCCCAATACAAACTGAAATGTTTCCATTGAATGAATTTTTGAATTATTTTAAAATTCAAAAAGGCTCTCACTGCTTGGTTTTCCTTTTCCTCCTTTCCTCCCTTCATCCATCCCTTCCTTTCTTTCTTCCTTCCTCCCTTCTTCCCTCTCTTTTCCTTCCTTTCCTCCTTCCCTCCTGCCTTCTCTCCCTCCATCCTTCTCTCTCTTTCATAGAGTAATAACCTACACTACAGATCCATTTAGCTGTGGATTTGGATCAAATTTACAGTCATCATAGTCCCACCTTCATAGGGCTATAAATGGCTCAATTCTTGGGGAAAATTACTAAGCACTTAAACTTAAGTTTTTTGTTTTTCAGATATTAGTGTACAATTCTTTTAAATACCTATATTTGGATAAAATAAAGAAATGCTAGAAATATCTGGATATATTTTGGGAAAAGGTAATTGAATGTTCTACATGTATATCTTGATTGTGGCGTTGGGAACATGGCTGTCCAAATTCATTGAATGATACCCTAAAAATGGTACATTTTATTATTAAAATAGTACATATGTATAAAATTGACCTAAATAAAGTTTCCTTAAAGAGATTAGTAGTGTGCCCAAGACTCCGAGTGGGTCTCTGTACTTGACGTGTCAAGGTACCTTTCTGCAGGGTTCCGGGAGAGCTGGAACGGACTGCGCCTTGGACTGCGGCTCTGGGATAGGAAGGGTGAGCAAGCATGTCTTGTTGCCGGTTTTCAACAGTGTGGAACTGGTGGACATGATGGAATCTTTCCTCCTTGAAGCCCAGAACTACCTTCAGGTTGCAGGAGACAAGGTAGAGAGCTACCACTGCTACAGCCTGCAGGAATTCACACCCCCGTTTGGGAGATACGATGTCATCTGGATTCAGTGGGTCTCCGGTTAGTCCTGCATGGCTTTGCCTCTGCTCTTCTCCCCACTCAGCTAGAGAAGATGATATTGGGGCTAATGGGGACACAAGGGAAGATTTAGCTATAGTTGTGGTTACAACAATTAGCCACCCCCTGGTGTCACGTGAACTCCCAGATAGTGCTGGTCCTCCAGATTTCTCCCCTAACATTCTTTTTTGAGACAGAGTCTCACTCTATTGCCCTGAGTAGAGTGCCACGGTGTCAGCTCACAGCAACCTCCAATTCCTGGACTTAGGCCTCTTGCCTCAGCCTCCAGAGTTGCTGGGACTATAGGTGCCCACCACAACACCTGGCTATTTTTTTTGTTTTGTTTTGTTTTGTTTGTTTGCAGTTTGGCCGGGCCCAGTTTTAAACCTGCCACCAGAGGTATATGGGGATGGCACCTTACCCACTGAGCCACAGGTGCCATCCACCCCTAACATTTTCTAGACCAGAAATTTAGTTTGCTTCTAGGATTTCAGTTGGTTCAAAGGTGTTTGCTCCACCAACCTAAATCCTCAAAGAAATGTAAATACCTAAAAAGATATTAAAAGTGGAGCCAAAAAAGGTGAATCTCCATTTATTGTCAGAACTAGACATTCTTAAATTTAGATCCCTAAATTTTCCCTAGGAAATAAGATAGCAGTGAACTAGATTTTGATGTGTGTGTGTGTAGGAGACCCCAAAAGTGGTAATAGAGGGGTTCTTTGGTTCTCCAGGGGACAGGAAGGATCTCATGTCATGACAATAATTTATCTCATGCCTATGAGGTAAATAGGCCAGGTCGTATCATATCTATTTGTAGATAGGGAACTGAGCCTCCTCAAGGATGGTATGTGTTCTCTTATCTAAATTTTCAAAGCCACCTACAGACAGAACAGGGTATTGAATAATTCATGAATGAAGGAACAATGGGTCTCCTGATTCTTAGCTCTGTGTTCTTTCCTACTCACCTCTCTCCCTGCCCACCATCATCCTGTTCCCCTACCCACTTGGCCCCACTCGTAGGGCACCTGACTGATAAGGACCTTCTTGCATTTCTTTCCCGGTGCCGAGATGGCTTGAAAGAAAATGGTGTCATCATTCTGAAGGACAATGTGGCACGGGAGGGCTGTGTCTTCGATCTCTCTGACAGCAGTGTGACCCGGGACATGGACATCCTCCGGAGCCTCATTAGGAAGAGTGGGCTGGTGGTGCTGAGCCAGGAGAAGCAGGAGGGCTTCCCAGAGCAGTGCATTCCCGTGTGGATGTTCGCACTGCACAATGATGGACACTCCTGAAATGCAGTGGGAACGAATGACTGGACTGGATGGGCAGTGGGCTTTGGGACTTGGTGCTGTTCTTTCCAGGTGCCCCTCACAATGTAGGCAGGGATGGACAGAAGGGACACCGTACGTGTCTGCATATGACTGATGATAGAGCAGGTACAAATTTTCACTAATGATATAATGCACACACTCTAATAAGACAGGAGCATACTCTGCAGATTTCCTAGAAAAAAAAAGATGGCATGAAACATCAGGAAAGTGTTTTGGGAAACTACTGTATATACCTAAACTGTACTGCATCCATATTTGTAAAAATTGTCTTTCTCAATATCCTAGGCAAAAATATAGATTTGTTTTTTCACTGCAAGATGAAATTGGCATTCTGTGAAGCAAGGAAAATAAATCGTTTCGCTTTTAGGGTAGTTCAAATAAAGTGCTTGTTTACTCAAAAAAAAA